AAGAGCACTCCCGCTTTTACAACCTTCTGCTAATAAGATAATGGCTTGTCCCTTTCTTGGCCTAATAATTTTACAGCCGAGCTGTCCAAAAATAAGCACTTGGAAATGTCAAGATGCTTTTATCCTCCAGCGCTTCCTCCTCCCCCCCCCACTTGGTGTTTTATGACACGAGTCTGACAAAAGGATCCTTCATGTTTTGACAGCTCCCATCAAGGAAGGGTTGTGTGGGATAAAATGGGCTGACGTCAGGACCCTGGACAGGGCAATGTTGGCTGAGAATGGCTGTCTCAGCCAAGTTGAGAAGACATCTAAAACCGTAGGAAGACTGACTGGGTTGTATTTGCTCTCTTTCTTAGGAAATGGAATTGGAATAGGGATAGGAATAGAATTAGAATTAAGAGTGGAATGGAATGGAATGGAATGGAATGGAATGGAATGGAATAGAGAGGAGGAGGAGGAGGAGGGAAAGAAGAGAGAGAAGAATGGTAGAAGCAAAAGGAATGGAAAGGAATGGAATGGAATGGAATGGAATAGAATATGGAATAGAATAGAATAGGAAAGAATAGAATAGAATATGGAATGGAATGGAATATGGAATAGAATAGAATATGGAATGGAATAGAATAGAATGTAGAGTAGAGTAGAGTAGAGTAGAGTAGAGTAGAGTAGAGTAGAGTAGAATAGAATAGAATAGAATAGAGAATGGAATGGAATGGAATGGAATGAAGGGAAAGAATGTCTTCTAGTCCATCCCCCTCCTGAAATTTACCATTTCAGACAAGTGGCCTTCCAGACAAGCAGTTCGAGTCCCTAGTGCCGCGTAACGGGGTGAGCTCCCGTGACTTGTCCCAGCTTCTGCCAACCTAGCAGTTCGAAAGCAGGTAAAAAAAATGCAAGTAGAAAAATAGGGACCATTTTTGGTGGGAAGGTAGCGGCGTTCCGTGCGCCTTTGGCGTTGAGTCATGCCGGCCACATGACCACGGAGACGTCTTTGGACAGCGCTGGCTCTTTGGCTTTGAAACAGAGATGAGCACCGCCCCCTAGAGTCGGGAACGACTAGCACATATGTGCAAGGGGAACCTTTACCTTATCAATTGGCAGATGTGTCTTGAAACTTTAGGCATTCGACCCCACTTTCTACATCATTGTCTTCTTCTCCCTTTGCTTATCGATCTCCCCGTTTCTCCTTTGGAACTTAGCCTAAATGGCTTCATTCTTCTCCTTTTAGAGCAGATCTTTTTATGGCTCACTCACCTTCCCATCCCCAAAAATGTATTTGGGGTTGCTGCCATATGGAATTTTCTTGCCCAGCTCTGGTGGGACGATGAAATGTTTTGCTTCTGGGTAAATCCAAGTCAATCTCTTGTTGTGAAGAAGGAAAGCAGGGTGAAAAATTGGCTAAAACAGATATTTCCCCCCCTCCTCTTATCTGCTTATTTTCAAATGCATGGTGTCCGTCGGAGGTTATAAATAACATGCGTCAAGCTTTGGCGTCAAGGTTCAAAAATTTGCGGGGTGTTGTTACGCAGGCATACCAGACACCCACGGGTGTCAGACGTTTCACAGAACATGCTGTGTTTACCCTCTTCTTTCGACAACATGTGTTTGTTTTATTAAAGGGTGGCTGGTTTTAATTCCGCCCCCTTGGTGAGCCGAACGCCCGTATGAATCTTTAGCCAAATGGCATGACGAGGACTTTGAGGGTGGGTGGTTTTGAAGCAAGATAATCTGTAGCTTCTCCTCTGTAAAGGAAGGTTGTCTTTCATGAACGTTTGCTATTAAGGTCAAAGCTTTCGATCCAGAGCAAGGGGGTCAAACTCAAGGCCCAGGAGACGGATCCAGCCTGCGGGGTGCTTTGATGTGGCCCATGGGGCCGCCCTGGAGCCAGCGAAGGAGTGGCATGTGGTGCCTCTGCCAGTGTGGCCCTCCCGAGCTCCATTTTCGCTGGTGGAGGGTTACAGGCAGGGGTGGTATTCTACCGGTTCAGACCAGTTTGGGTGAACCAGTAACTCCGACGATCATCTGGGAGTGAACCGGTTTGTTGCAATGATCAGGTTAGTGGTGGGTTCCTCCCAGTTTGGCCAAGCCGGTAGCGGTGGGTGTTATGTATGTATCTATTTTGTGCGGGAAATTCAAATCCAACAATGCTGGTGATTGGTTAACGGGTATTTCAGGACTGTATATAAGGAGGGCTGTTGCCTGGGGTTCTTTGCTGAAGTCTCACCCTGAATTAAAGAGCTGTTGTCACTAGCTTGCTTGTGCCTCTCGTTATTCTCGCGCTACAACAGTGACGATATGACGTCACCCAACCGGTTCTGCCCCCCCGCCCCCTCCTTGTGTTATTCTTATCTTTTATTTGGCCCCACCCCCAATCTATTGCTGCCTCCTGAGTCCCAGCTGACCGGCTAGAAGGAAAAAAACTGTTTAAACTCTTGCCACGGAGCTCCAAAGGGCCGCCCTACAGCTGATCAGTGTTAAAAGGCAGTGTGGTAGTAGACCGGTGCCTCCAAAAACAAATGAGCAGACCAGTGCCTGCAAAAATAAATAGGTAGACCGGTGCCTCCAAAAACAAATGAGTAGACTGGTACAGCTCTGCAAGTAGTTAAAAGCCTGGTAGACTAGTACCTCTGCTAAATCCTAAAGAATGGTCACATGACCATCAAGCCACACCCACAAAATAAGCCACACCCACAGAACAGATAGTTAAAAAAATTAGAACCCACCCCTGGATCAGGTGGGCCCGCCCGCCCGCCCCTGCGCTTTACTGACCTATAACTTTTCAACTGATTCGCGCGGCAGAGCGGATTGCCGTGCCTCAGCTGTGTTGCTCCCCAGCAGTAACGCACAAGGTACGTTTTTGCAAAACTGCACAAATGCGCGCAGAGTGTGCGATCGCCGAACCGGTTGTTAAACCGACAGGATCCCACCAACTGGTTGCAGGAGGCCGTTGCAGCTGAAAACGGAGCTCGGGAGCCCGTTTTTGCTGGCAGAGCACTGGGGCCACCACAGGTGCCCGTGACACGAGTGGCGTCGAGCTGGCCACGCCCACCCCAGCCCTCCAAGGTCAAACACAACCCTGATGCGGCCCTCCATGAAATCGAGTTTGACCCCCCTGATCCAGAGCATTTCCAGAATGGAAAAGAAGAGCCTTAAGAACTCTGGATTCAGTCCGTGTTAACACCCAGTTGGCTTCATCATGGTTCGCTGAATCAGCCCTAGTTGACTCGCTTTCACAAACCATGGGAAGTTAGTCATTCTCTAGGTTGGCACAACCTCCGCATTGGCGACAGGAAGGGCATCTGGCCAGGAAGCACTCAGCTCCATTCAGTTGCCCAGACTCTACCCTGCAAAGGATTATGGAATTGTGCCCTTTGGAATGAACTCCCCCCAGAAATTCGCAAAATCTCTGATCTCCGTGTATTTCGCTGTGCCGTCAAAACCATGTTGTTCTGCCAGGCTGGGCTATCAATATAAAGATTTTAATTGGTTTTAAATTGGGTTTTTAAATTCGGGGTTTTATAAATTGGGCCTACTATCTAATAATTTTAATTATTTTTAAATATTGTCTGTCTTTGTGTTTTTAATTAGGCTGTACACTGCCCTGAGTCCTTCGGGAGAAGGGCGGTATAGAAATAAAATTAATAATAAATAAATGAATGAATGAATGAATGAATGAATGAATGAATGAATGAAGATGAATAGAATAGAATGCAGAGCCTGGATAGCTCAGCAGACTAATGCATTGTAATTTAACTCCAGCTGTCTGCAATTAGTAAGTTCGAATCTTGCCAGGCTCAAGGTTGACTCAGCCTTCCATCCTTTCTAAGGTAGGTAAATTGAGGACCCAGTTTGTGGGCGCAATAAGATGACTTTGTAAAAATATACAAAAGTATGAAGGCTATTGCTTAACGCATTGTAAACCACCCTGAGTCTCCGGAGAAGGGTGCTATATAAATCAAATTAAAAAAGAAGAAGAAGAAGAGAATAGAATAGAATAGAATAGAATAGAATTCTTTATTGGCGAAGTGTGATTGGACACACAAGGAATTTGTTTAGCAGAGTGATGGCATTCGGTAAAAAACTGTCCTTGTGTCTAGTTGTTTTGGTGTTCAGTGCTCTGTAGCATCGTTTTGAAACAATTTGTGTCCAGGATGCGAGGGGTCTGTAGATATTTTCACAGCCCGCTTTTTGACTCCTGCAGTATGCAGGTCCTCCATGGAAGGCCGGTTGGTGGCCATTGTTTTTTCTGCAGTTCTAATGATCCTCTGAAGTCTCTGTCTTATTGGGTTGCAGAGCCAAACCAGACAGTTATGGAGGTGCAGATGACAGACTCAATAATTCCTCTGTAGAACTGGATCAGCAGCTCCTTGGGCAATTTGAAGAAGAGGATGTTGGCTGAGGATAGGCGTAGATCTTTTGCAGAACACTTCCAACGTCCTTGTGAAGGATACCAAATGATGGCCAAAGGCTCATCCCCTTATTCCTTTGGGTTGGGATTGGCACTGGTGGAAAAGTGTGGTTGTAAAATAACCTTCCCTGCAGCCTTCTGTCAGTTTTCGAGGTTGTCTCAAATAAATTCCATTTCAAACAAAGTCTTTGATGAAAAACTCCCATTTATTAAGCACGACATTCTAACTGCGACTCCATCGCAGCCAACACTGACTTCCAGACCCAAAACCCTCCCTTTCCATTCCCCACTCCTCTGCACTCATTGGCCATCTTCCAAGTCACTCTATCCCTAATCTACTGCTCCAGCTCAAAGGAATTTCTCCCCTCCCATCCCACCTCCTAGGGGATATTATCTCCAAGGAAAATAAGTAGGTGAAAAGTCAGACGTCCCTTTCCAGATGCCTCCGCTTCTCCTTTTTATGTCAGCACTAGAGTAAATGCAGCTTGAAGTGCTGACACCTACGGGGGTTCCCCAAAATAAATTATGTCTTTGTTCTTCTCTCTCTCTCTCTCTCTCTCTCTCTCTCTCTCTCTCTCTCTCTGCCTCGCAGGTAACCAAGATGGTCAAGACTGTCACAACCAGAACTGTGCGCCAAGTCCCCCTCGGTCCAGACGGCATCCCTACAATGGACGGCTCCTCCCCCATGGGTAGTTACACTGACTCCATAGACAGAAGGCAGGTCAAGAACGGAGAACGGTACATCACCCCCCAGGCATCGTCCACTCTGAACCGAGCTTACAACAGCTACAATGATTCCTACCCGGAGAGTCACGACGGCCAATATCGTTCTTTCGTAAGCCACAACGGTTACGGCGACCTGCCGGACAATTACGGAAGCTTGTCTCGGAGTGTCAATTACCGGCCGCATTATGCCTACGTACCGGGGAACAATTACCGGCCCGAGGATGGTAGCTTCACTTTGCCAAGCAGGAGGGATAACTATGGACCTCTGGCCCAGCCTCAGGTGCCGACGGGCAGCAACGCAGACTTGAACCGCTCCCAGCCAGAACGGTTCCAACCGGAGCCGTATGGGCTGGAGGACGATAACCGCAGCCTCGGAATTGACGACGAAGGTTATGAACTCGATCCAGAGTATTCGACGGTGAATCGGAGAACGTCGGCTGGGATCCCGGAGAGAGGGAGACCTCACAAGGGAAGGTAAATACACAGTAGATGGTCTGGTGTAGGAAGGTTGTTGTAGGACTCTTGTCCTGCAGGATCAGTGGAAATTCTGCTTGGTTTGAACTTGCTGGAGAAGTTGAGGGCTGGTAATGGAGAAGACCTCATTATTATAGGCCACCGTTCTAAGATTATTTATAGTACCTTCTCAAGAATGTTTGTGCTTGTCTGGGCTTTCTTTTCCTACTCTTGTTTAGAATTCTTTCTTGGCCAAATGTGATTGGGCACACAAGGAATTTGTCTTTGGTGCATATGCTCCAGAGGTGGGCTTCAGCAGGTTCTGACCAGTTCTGGAGAACTGGTAGCGGACATTTTGAGTAGTTCGGAGAACCGGCAGTAAAAATTCTGACTGGTCCCACCCCCATCTATTCTCTGCCTCCCAAGTCCCAGCTGATTGGGAGGAAATGGGGATTTTAAAGTAACCTTCCCCTGGAGTGGGGAGGGAATGGAGATTTTACAGTATCCTTCCCCTGCCATGCCCACCAAGCCATGCCACGCCCACCAAGCCACACCCACAGAACCGGTAGTAAAAAAAATTGAAACCCACCACTGATACGCTCTCAGTGTACATAAAAAGACAAGATACGTTCATCAAGAATCGTAAGGTACAACACTTAATGCAAAACTCGCTTAACGACGATTTCACTTAGCAACATAAAGAACGTGGGCCAGTCCTGGAATAGTTCCCTGGTTAGAGAGATGTTTAAGGCTGGGGTGTTGGTTTAGTGTGAATCCTGGCAATTTCAACTTATCAAGGTATTGATTGCTGGTGAAGAGGTGTGTATAAACAGAGAGCAAGCCCCACTCTCTTCTAGCACTGATGATGTTACTCAGTCAGGTAATGAGATGTCTGCAAGAAAGCAAGCAAAGAGCACCATGAACCAAATCTGTTAAATATTTGGAGGTGATATGTGTATGTGTGTAATATGAAAGTTTGATCATTGCATACGTTTTGGGAAGTTTAATGAGTTGTCTGTGCCTATCCCGTTCAGTAAGCTACAGATAGTCCTTGACTTGTGACCATCAGCTGAATGAACTGCTCGAAGTTGCAACGGGGCTGAAAGAAGTGACGGACAGTTAGTCCTTGCATTTACGAACGTCACACTTATGACCATTTGCAGCATTCCCTGCAGTGATTCACTTACCAACCGTGGCCAAAATGGTCGTAAAATCGGGCACGGCTCACTTAAACAGCCGTCCTGCTTAGTAACGGAATTTCTGGTCCCTGTTGTGGTTCTAAATCAAAGATGACAGCTATTGCTTAACGCATTATAAGTCGCCCTGAGTCTCCGGAGAAGGGCGGCATATAAATCGAACCAATAAATAAATAAATAAATAAAAGATTGGAGGCTTTTTTTTTTTAATTTAAATTCGATCAAGGAACTTTATAAAGGCATTTAATTTGAACGCGCCTTGTCCCGACATAAATGAGCCAGCAAGGTCTCTCACCAACTTCAGGAATTCTCAAAGCAATTTTTACATGAATAAATTATCGTCTTGTCTTTCACCGCCGAAGGAAGTCTGGCAATCAGTAATGATTTTTTTCTTTTCTTTTATGTAATGATGAAGGTCCCTGCTAATTAACCCTTGGTGGCCAAAAAAAAAAAAAAAATCTACTTTATTCCTTTTCCTGAAAAGCAAAACTCGGCAAAAGGTTGGTAGATTGGGTTTCCCACTGTTCTGATCTAGGCTTCCTTAGAAAGCATACAGCACAATCTTAGTCCCGGCAAACCTCTTTAATTCATACGGCTGTGGATTATTGTCATTCCCAGTCCGAGAGGCTTCTCAAACAGTCTTTCAGGGGAGTGTTTACAAACACCCACCTTATCTCCCTTGGAATGCTGCCAGAGAACTAATTGCCATGCGCAGGGCAAGGCCAAACTTAGCACAGAGTCAAACAGAACTTTTCAGAGCTTTTACCTGTAAAAGCTTCCTGTAAAAGCTCATGTCCCATTTGCTTCTCTTTTATGTCTTAATGGGAGAGGCCAATCATCTCCAAGCCTTACTCCCAAGTCGACCCTGTTTTCTTAATTGTTCCTGTCTTCTGGCAGCTCTGCGCATGCACACACTGGGAACAGGCTCCTGCTGTTATTCTGCCTCGCTGATGTCAGACTCCGGAGACTCCAGAGGCAGCAAAGAACTACCAGATGGCCTTGGCCCCCTCTCTGCCTCCGACTCAGAGCCCTCATCCGAGCCTTCCCCAGACTCCAGGACTGGCCCACGTTCCTCCCCAACCTCCTCACTATCTGCTGTCAGCTCTGCTGGCCGCTGGCGGGTCACAACCCCCCCTCCCACAAAGCTGGTGAATAGGAGAGGAAGGGATCGCAACTTTGTGGGTGAAATTTATTATCGTGACAATATATAGATAGTCCTTGACTTACGACCACCATCGAGACCAAACTTTATGTTGCTAAGTGAAACCGTCGTTAAGCAAGTTTTTCCCCCTTTTCCGACTTTTCTTGACACCGTTGTTACCGTGAATCACCGTAGAGGCTGAATTGGTAACCCCGTTGTTAAGTGAATCTGGCTTTCCCGTTGAGCTGGTTTGTCAGGAGATCTCAAAAGGGGATCACATGATCCCGGGACACTGCAACCGTCCTAAATACGAGTCAGTTGCCAAGCCTTTGAATCAGGGGTGAAATCTAGCAGGTTCTGACAGGTTCTGGAGAACCGGTAGTGGAAATTCTGAGCAGTTCGGAGAACCGGTAGCGGAAATTTTGAATATCATCAATATGCTGATGATACCCAGCTTTACATTTCCACCCCTGACCACCCTAGGGATGCCCTTTCCGTGATGTCCCACTGCCTGGAAGCGGTGCGGGTTTGGATGGGGAGGAACAGGCTGAGACTCAACCCTTCCAAGACTGAGTGGCTGTGGATGCCGGCATCCCGGGATCTGGAGGTTCCATCCTTAATGATCGGAGGTGAAACCCTTGCTCCCTCCGATAGGGTCCGCAACTTGGGTGTCCTCCTGGATTCTCGGCTGTCTTTAGATGACCATCTGACGGCCGTAACCAGGGGGGCCTTCGCACAGGTCCGTCTTGTGCGCCAGTTGCGCCCGTTCCTAGACCGGGATGCCCTTGCCACGGTCACTCACGCCCTTGTTACCTCTAGGTTGGACTACTGTAACACCCTCTACATGGGGCTGCCCTTGGGATGTGTCCGGAGGCTTCAGCTAGTCCAAAATGCAGCCGCACGGGTAGTTACGGGGGCGTCTAGATACTCCCGTGTAACACCTCTCCTGCGTGAGCTGCACTGGCTACTGGTGGCAGTCCGGATACGTTTCAAGGTGCTGGTGCTCACCTATAAAGCCCTTCATAGCTTAGGCCCGGGGTACTTGCAGGACCATCTCCAGCCGTTCTCCCATCGTCCTGTGCGCTCTCACAGTCGGCCTCCTCAGGGTGCCGTCGGCCAAACAATGTCGGCTGACGACCCCCAGGGGGAGGGCGTTCTCTGTGGGAGCCCCGACCCTCTGGAATGGATTGCCCACTGAGCTCAGGACAGCCCCCGACCTTCTTTCCTTCCATCGCGAGCTGAAGACGTGGCTCTTCCGCCAATTAAACTGATCCGTTTGGGGGTACACTGGTATAATTTTAAATCGTTTTTTAATTGGGTTACTGATTTTAATTTGGTATTGTATTGTGATTTGTTTTGAAGTTGTCATTTTGTAAGCCGCCTTGAGTCCCTAGGGAGAAAGGCGGCATATAAATCGCAATAAATAAAATAAATAAATAAATAAATAAATAAATAAATAAATAAATAAATAAATAGTTTGGAGAACCGGCAAATACCACCTCTGGCTGACCCCAGAGTGGGGTGGGAATGGAGATTTTGCAATATCCTTCCCCTGCTACAGCCACCAAGCCACACCATGCCCACCAAGCCACACCCACAGAACTGGTAGTAAAAAAAAAATGGATTTCAACACTGCTTTGAATGTTGACCACATGACTACAATGGTTATAATTGTGAAAAGGGTCATAAGTCACTTTTTTCAGTGCCATTGTAACTTTGAACGGTCGCTAAATGAGCTGTTGTAAGTCGAGGACTGCCTGTAGATGGGTTGCTCTGTCTACCCTCCCCTTCTGCTTTGGTAGTAATGTTCAGAGGTTAGATCTAGACCAGGAAGTATGGACTCAACTCCACACTTAGCCAGAGATCCCTTGCTGTAGGGATGACCTTAAATCGAGCACATGTTCTCAATCTTAATCTGTTGAAAAACCATGGTCTCTTCCTTGCTAAATGGGAATTCCTAATCATCGTTACAAGACAGACAGTTTGGTGCAGTGGTTAAGGCATCAGGCTAGAAACCAGGAGACGATGAGTTCTAGTCCTGCCTTAGCCATGAAAACCAGCTGGATGGATGGACCCATCACCAGGAGAATGTGAGTTCTAGTCCCACCTTAGCCCTGAAAGCTAGTTGGGTGACTCTAAGCCCATCACTAGGTGATGATGAGTTCTAGTCCTGTCTTAGCCATGGAAGCCAGCTGGGTGATTCTAAGCCCATCACTGGGTGATGAAGAGGTCTAGTCCTGTTTTAGCCATGAAAGCCAGCTGGGTGTCTCTAAACTCATCACTAGGTGATGATGATTTCTAGTCCTGTCCTAGCTATGAAGTCAGGTGGGTGACTTTGGACCAATGACCAGGAGACTGTGAGTTCTAAACCCATCTTAAGTATGAAAGCTGGATGGGTGACTTTGGACCGATCACTCTCTCTCAGACCAACACACTTCACAGGGCTCTTGTGGCAAAAAGGTGGTTTATTGGATATGTTCTTCACCTTGAGTTATTTATAGGGAGGGGAGGAAATCCCAGCTATTGGAAAAAGCTACGTTCTAGATTGTGAATTCCCGTGTAAGAATGGAGCAATTTAATAAATTTAGACTTGCGTCTTATGAACTAATGGAGGTTCCATCTTTGGATTATAATAAGCAACTCCAGTTATAGGCCTAGTTATAGTTATACCCCAAATCAACAAA